CTGCACTCCAGTCTGGGCGACAGAGTGAAACTCCAACTCAAAAAACCCCAAAAAACAAAAAAAAACCCGCTTGGATGATTAACCTCACAACACACTTATTAAAAGTCATTATATACTTTAGCTTGGCTCCATGTGTATGCTGTTGAAATGGCAATATACTTTACTGATCTCTTAGCACCTCCTTGCTGAAAGTTATAATTTTGAAAACTTAAAATAGTTTCTTCAGTGCCATCTAGAAATATCATCTTAGTGACTTCTCATTCAAATGTGGCATGTGTTGACACACTCATTGCTGGAGCAATTATATGTGTCAGGTGCAGTTCCACTGGGAGAGGACTCTTGAAGACTGGCTCCTGGTTGCCTCTGGATTTCACCCCATGTGCCTTTTCCCTTTGCTGTAATAAATTTTACTCATCAGTACAACTCTGTTGAGTTCTGTGAGTGTTTCTAGTGAATCACTGAACTGCAAGTGGTTTTAGGGGGTACCCTTGACACAGAGGGCAAGAAGAGATGTGGGGAAAAAAAGAATAACAAGATGTTGAAGAAAAAGAGAAATGTGATCATAATAATATTCTCATATGACAAACTTTTGCAAAGCCAGAGAAACCATCGAGAGAGCAGGGAGACAGCCCACAGACGGGGAAAAAATATTTGCCAACTGTATGTCTGACAAAGGCCTAACATCTAGGATCTACAAGGAGCTCAAATGTACTGAAAAGAAAAAAAACAAACAGCCCCATTACAAAGTGGGCAAAAGATATGAACAGTCACTTCTCAAAAGAAGACATATGAGTAGCCAATGGATACATGAAAAAATGATCAGCCTTACTAGTCATCAAAGAAATGCAAATTAAAGCTACACGATACTACCTAACTCCAGTCAGGACAGCCATCATCAATAACTCAAAAAAACAACAGATGCTGGAGAGGATGTGGCAAAAAGGGAACACTTCTTCTACACTGCTGGTGGGAGTGTAAACTAATACAACCTCAGTGGAAAACAGTTTGGTAATTCCTAAAAGATCTAAAAATCAACCTTCCATACAACCCCACAATCCCCCTGCTAGGAATATACTCGAAGGAACTCAAATCACTCTATGAAAAAGATACCTGCACACATATGTTTTTTGCAGCATTGTTCGCAATAGCGAAAACATGAAACCAACCATATTGCCCATCGAAAGAGGACAGGATAAAAAAAATGTGGTACATATACACAATGGAATATTATGCAGCCATAAAGAAGGACAAAATTATGAACTTCACAGCAACCTGGATGAACTTAGAGTCTATAATACTGAGTGATCTATCACAGAAACAAAGAACTGAGTATCACATGTTCTCACTCATAAGTGGACCTTGAACAATTATCGGAATACTGTAAGAAAAGCAGCAGGAAACTGCTGTGGGTGGGGGGAGGGGTTGTGGAGAGGCAGGATTGGCAGTAGTGGGAATCTGCCAGGGAAGGGAGGAACACATCTCATCAACAAGGGTGCCTGCATAATGAACATTTGTATACCTAATCCTGAATTGTACTACACATCTTTAAAATTAAAAATTTAAAAAATTCTCATATGTACTATAATCTCAATTATATTATAGTAAATATGCTTGCATATATGCACAGAAAGATATTAAAAGGACAGTTGCCACGATGTTAACAGTGCTGCCTCTGGATGGTGGGATTTTAGGTGATTTTTCATATTTTCCTTTATACTTTTCTGTAGGGTTTAAATTTGCTTTTACAATTAGCATACTTTATATAATCAGAAAAAAGATAAAGCTATTTTTATTTTAAAAGAAAATAAAAATCAATTGTTGGAGATTCCTGTTTAAAATAGCAGCTTCTTATGCTGTCTCTCCTAACTTCCCATTAAATTCCTATAAAGATACAGAAAAAATGAAAATATACATAACATAGCTAGGTGTCTGATGACTGGTTCACAAAAGCTGAGAGAAATTTCCACTAATTTTATGGCCATAATCAACAGATCACATATACCCTAGAACAGTCTCCCTGAAAATAGGGAGGGGACCCTTGCATTCCCTACTCCACTGCATTATGGTTAAGAAATATGAGATCTGTCTCAGAGAAGACTGGACAGTTTTCCTACAAATGCATAGGTTGATGGTTTTTGAAGTAGTCGTCTCTTCTTTTTTAGGTCGAGACTATAGTTTCTCATCAGAAAGAAGAGGTAGGGCTGGCAACGGCACACTACATTTCTAAAAGAAAAGTGCTCTAAGAGGGGACCAAGAGAGGAAGAGCACTAGTAGCTGTGTATACCTGGAATTATATCATTTTATGTATGAGCTGGGCCTTGGGGCTGGAAGGGGTGAGGTGGACCCCCATCTTTGGCTAGCAGAGCCTGTAATAGACTAAAGCTTCTGGGACACTGACAGTTGTGAAAGAAGTGAACAAACTACCACTGAAGATTTAAGAAGAGATTTTTCCAGCCACCCAGTGGACAGAAAGTGAGTTCTGGGTAGAGTAACTATGTAGTTTATTATCCATACTTGATCACTTTTGAGAATGAAAGAGGTATAATTACAACAGGCAGGGTCATAAACCAGGACTGACCCAAGCAAACTGAGAGGTATGACAACCTCTGTGACCACCCTGGTTCAGAACCTAATTCTCAGCCTGAATCAATTTCTTAGATAGGCAGAAAAAAGAAAACCATAGTACCTGATCTGGAAAAAACCTCCAAAAAAGTCAAAACAAAAAACAAATCCACAGGTAAGTACCTAAGATAAAAGGAAAGGACTTGAGGACTTGAAGATAGAGAACAGATACATAGAAATACCTTACTTTTTTTTTTTTGAGTTGGAGTCTCACTCATGGCCACTGCAGCCTTGACCTGAGGGGCAGAGGGGATCCTTCTACCTCAGTCTTCCAAGTAGCTGGAATCACAGGTGTGTACCACCATGCCTGATCCATATCTATCTATCTATCTATCTATCTATCTATCTATCTATCTATCTATCTATCTATCTATCTATCTATCTATCTATCTATCAGTCATAGAGATGAGGTCTTGCCATGTTGCTCAGGCTTGTCTTGAACGCTTGAGTTCAGGTAAATCCTCTCACCTCTGCCTCTCAAAGTGCTGGGATTACAGGCGTGAACCACCACACCCAGCTAGGGATAACTTACTAAGGCAGACAGAAAACAGAGGTCCAACTTGCAAATTTACAATTATTCTTAAGAAAGAAAACAGAACTGAACAAAAGCAACATTAAAAAAGCAATTAATAGAAGGAAAAATGTTTTGGGATAAGACAGAATTTAGTATTCCATTCTAAAAGTTTATGAGTTCCAGGTAAAATAAATAAAGAGAAATCAACACTTAGAAACATCTTGCCAACTGCAGAAGAAAACTTACATTATTTGAGTGTGATATAATCATTTACCTAGAAACTCACAGAATCAACAAACATAATTCCAGAAACGTTTTGTTCTAGATCAGATAAAGCAACATAAGCCAATATTATTTCTCTGAACCAACACTGCCATGAAGAAAATGTAATAAAAAGATTCACAGTAGCAACCAAAACAATAAAATATCTAGAAATTAGCCATAAATTCATAAGTCCTCTTTAAGTCTAAAGGTCAATGAAGAGGATTTAAATAAACCCATTTTATATTCTTAATAAGATAATTTAATATGATAAAAATGTTAATCTTTTTGAATTAATCTACATATTAAGTGCAATCCTAATAAAAATTACTGTTGAATTTAATTAACTTCTTATACACACTAAAATGTATATTGCAGAATAAAGGTTCATGTACAGGTTAATTGACTTTAATTAAGAAGAGTAGAGAAGGTGAACTAACTTTCCAATATACTAAGGCATACTACAATAAAAGCAAAAACAGGCAAATAGAAAAATGGAACATGGCCAGGTGCGGTGAGGTCACGCCTGAAATTACAGTACTTTGGAAGGCCGAGATAGGAGGACTGCTTGAACTCAGGAGTTCAAGATCAGCATAGGCAACAAAGTGAGCTCTCAAAAAATAAAAAAATTAGCTAGGTGTGGTGGCATGTTCCTGAAGTTCTAGCTAATTGGGAAGCTAAGGTGGAGGATTGCCTGAGCCCAAGAGGTCGAGGCTGTTGTGAGCCATGCTCAAATTCAATGGTAATCACAGAAACACAAAGTGAAACAACAACACAAAATTATTATATCCATCAGTCTGATAAAATTTAAGTAGCTGGAGGCTCCTTAGGGATGCAGCACATAGTAACTCTCACCTGCAGTTGCTGTGGTACAAACAAGCAGAATCATCCAGGAGAAGAATCTGGCACTGCTTATACCAATTAGGTATACATATCCCTGATGACCCAACAACTTTTCTTTTAGATATGTATATATTCCAAGGACATTCTCACAGAGGTATATACCCTAGTGTATATACACTCAATTTTTCACATTAAAATGGTTCATATGGAAGATACAGGAAAGGGTATAGGGGATAAAAATAAATATATGAATGAGTAAGTAAAATGAGAAGGGGCCTTGTACAAATCAATGATGACAACTACAGCACCATCAACTAATGAGCATCAAGTCAGCACTTCACACCTGAGGTCAAGTGGTGGCAGAGGAGTAATGGTAGATAAAGGAGGTAGTTTCAAACATGTTGGCAACATTTTTTTAGTTATAAGATTAAAAAGTACTTTATGCATTTAAGCTGACAGAAAAAACACACTTAACTATAAAAGACAAAAAGTAGGCAGGTTCAGACATCTTTCCAGCTTTAAATGCCAGATGACAAAATGTCTTCAGAGTTTTGACGATAAAATAATTTTGAACTTGGACAGCTAAATAAGCTTTCCATGTGTGAAGGCAACAGAAAACATATAAAGATATGCATAGACACAAAATAATATGCCATCCATGAGCATTTCTTGAATTAAAGAAAACATTAAAAATATTTTAAAGAACATTAAAACAAAAAAGAATATTAAACCAAAATATAATTCTTATATATAAAGTTACCTTTTGAAGAAAGAGGACAATCCTTACAAGCATCTGGGCACGGAGTTCTTCCAAGGTAAACAATGTTCGGGGTGTTCGAATGAAAATTTTGGTCTTCCCATAAGCTACATCATCCTGAAAACCACACCGTTCAATCAGTTTCTTGACAGCCTCTTTATCTGAAGGAAGGTCGTGGTTGGGCCATGTGAATTCAGAGATCATCTTGTACCTGGATGAAAAAAGAACAGGGCACAATTAAGGGAGAAAAAAAACATATAGTCATCTCCATTGAAAAAACTGAATCCAATAAAACTCAAGATACTTCATAGAAAACAGAACAAGAGCCAGGTGCAGTGGCTTACGCTTATAGTCCCAGTACTTTGAAACACTGAGGTGAGAGGATTGCCTGAGCCCGTGGGTTCGAGATCAGCCTGGGCAATATGATGAGACCTCATCTCTACACTAAATTAAAAAAAAAAAAAAAGCTGGGCATGGTGGCGCATGCCTGTAGTTCCAGCTATTTGGAAGGCTGAGGCAGAAGGATTGCCTGAGCCCAATAGGTCGAGGCTGTGGTGGCCATGAGTGTGCCACTTCACTCCAGCCTGAATGACAGAGTGAGACTCCAACTCAAACAAAACAAAACAGAACATAACCAAAACAGAACATAACCAAACTTTCTTAGCAAACTAGCAATAGAACTTCACTAGCCTCATAAGATATGCAAAAAAGGGTTTCAAATAAATGAAAACACTTTATGTATAACAACTCTAACTGAACTTAGAAAGGCTATTTATGAAAAACCTACAGCAAGTATCATTCATAAAGGGGAGACCTTAGAAGCATTGTCTTTACAAACAGAAATAAGTTAAGGATGCTTCTATACCAATAAAGAAACTGGTAAATGATTGGGAAGGGACAAAATAGATACTACTTATGAATAATGTGACTCTCTTCAAAAGAAATCAAGCAGATCTTTAAACTATTATAAATAAAATAAAATAAAATTAAGCAGTATTGTTGTATATAAGATTAAAAGACAAAAATTAATTGTATTTCTACATACAAGCAGCCAACAGCTTCTTGGCATGTGGGCCTCTCATAAGGCAGCTCACCACACAGCCAGCAGCTTGCTTCAGAAGTGTAAGTGTAAGCAAGACAGAAGTCAAAGAGCCAATCTTTTTGTTACCATATTCCATTTTATTAGAAGCAACATACTAGGTCTAGCCTGCATTCAAGGAAAGGGGGTTAAACAGGGCACAGATACCAAGAGGCAGGGGACACAAGGGCCATCTCAGAAGCCTGACTACCACAGTTTTTTTCCCCCATGCAAAACTATTTAATATATGTAGTCAAATTTAGCAATGTTAAAAATTATATTGCATCTGAATTATACATCATTGTGAGAAAGGCTTCCTTCACTCAGGTTATGGAGTCATTCATTTATGTTTTCATCTATTACTTGTATAATTTCATTTCTTATATTTTGATCTCTGATCCTTTTGGAGCTTATTTTTTAATATGGTATGAAGTATGGATCTAATTCTATCTTTTGACAAATGGCTATTCAGCTGTTCCAACACTATTAAAAAGCCCATCTCCCCCGTGCCCCGCTGTGATTTAATATGCCACCTTATCATATGCTGAATTTTCATATGTGCTTCAGTTTATTTTTAGAGTTTCTGGTCTACTTCATTGCTTTGTTTGTCAATCTGTGCATCAATACCACACAGTTTAAATTTAATTTACTTTTAATGTCGCTCCTAATTCTGTTCTTTTTTAAAGGTCTTCCTACTTATTCTGGCATGTTTATATTTCCACATGAACTTTAGAATCAAGTTTTATAGTTTCAGGAAAAAAACAGAATCCAACAAATAAACAAATAAGAAAACCCCTCAAACACCCTTGATTGTAGTTTTACTGAATTGACATATTAAATTCATTATATATGGTGTTGAGCTGTCCTATCCAAAAACAAGGGATGCCTTCCCATTTTTTCAAGTCTACTTTTGTGCCTTTCATGAGTTTTTAAAAGGTTTTCTTGGGCAATCCCCTGGGGTTCCCTCCCACCATGGGAGCTTTTCTGTCCTTTCAATAAATCTTGCTTTCTCACTAAAAAAAAAGTTTTTCTCATATAACTTTTCATATATTTTGCTAAGATAATAGATATCTAAGTAACATCTGTTAATTACTCCTTAATTACAGTTAATTACTCCTTTCTTTTTGCATATTTCTATTATTAGCTTCCACTACAGCACACCCTGGTTTCCTTCTATCTCTGGATATGTCTTCTCAATTTCATTTTCTGGCTACTCTGGCTACCATTATGCCCCCAAATGTTGAAGTGTCCCAGGGCTCAGGTCAGGGATTCTCTCTGTATATTTTTTCCACATCACCTCATCTAGTCCATTTACTAAAATAATATATTCAAAATATAAAAACAAAATATGTGAATATTTAAACTTATAATTACATTAAAAATAAAAAATATATGTGTCTATTTATGAGTGTATTACCTCTAGTCTAGCCCTCAGTTCTGGGCTTCATATTCATATATTCAATACCTATAGTTCTTGAAGTTATCTTAAACTTCTCTTTCAGTCTTTCCTACCTCAATCCACCCAGTTACTGGGAATCCTGGGAATATTTTTACTCCTTCTCTTCTCTATTATTACTTCCAATCCATCATTAGAGTTCTATTGACTCTACCTCCAAAATATATTTAAATTTTGCACTCAGAGACATCTCGCAGATCGCCTACCAGCAACTTGATTGTACTTTTTTATGAAATAGTGAAAACTGAATCACATCATATTAAATAGTAGAGCATTGGAATCAATTATTTTACTGCAATGATATTTGGCTAATAATGGAATGTTGGACGTTGAGGAACTTATTTATGACAAAAAAATCAAAAATTTATATCTCCTTTTTCTGATATGTGGTAATGTGTGAAACAGTGACTAACATGCACTGCAGGTTTACTGATACATGTTATGCAATAGTAATTTGTTTGATGTCTTCCACCTGGTGTTTTTCTATTCAAGCAGACAATAAAGTCTCATTTTCTTCCTCCCACATTAATAATATGTTATTTATTGTCCAGTCTGTTGTTCAAAGATAATATGGAAGGATACACTCATGATTCCTGAAAACCATGAAGATGAGCCTAAATCTAAACAATTTCAAATTGTAGATTATAAAATGAAATTTATTAAAAGAATATTACTTTTTGGACTTAGTGCAGAATAATAAATTTATTCTGTGCCACTCAATACCTCAATACAATCTGCCTTCAACTTCCAAAGTCTCTTTCTTTTAAGGCTACAGTAACATGCTTATCTATCTTTTCAAGTTATGCCATATGATACAAAGGGTATACCACAGCTGCCTTTCTTATATACAAATGCTCTTTATAGCTACCTTCTGTTACAAAGAAGTGTCAGCACCACTGTGAAAGCACTTCACACATTCTCTTTCTATGTGACGCCAACTGATTTTTTAAAAACATATATCTCAGTATACATTCCATCTCTTTATTTGCTTTGATGTGCAATTTGGATAGAAAACTTCAAGGAAACGTATACTTTTGAAAAATCTGCACTTGTATAAGTTTGTCATATATAATCACCAGCAATCTCTTTATGTCCCCCCTAAGAGGGGACATCAGAGTGGTTTACTAGATTTATGATGTCCCCTCAGAGTGAACATCTGAGTGAAAAGGGTTAACATCCAACAATTCTCCTCACCTTTACCACTTCAATCTTAATCCAAGCCACTTTCTAGTTTACTACAATAGACTCCTAAATTGTTTTCCAGTTCCTTTCCAATCCATTCTGCATACATCAGCCACAGTAGTTTTCTAAAAGCACGAAATCATTATATTTTGCTTCCCTCCTCCTTCTTTTCTATCCCTCAATCACACTGGCTTCTACAAGGTTCTGTAATGTGGTTGCCTCCTTGTCTTTGCATATGCTATTGCTCCTGCCCAAAATGTATTTTACCTTAAAAGGCTGGCTCCTTTAGTCTTTTCTTGATCTTCCTACATCAATGAACCCTCCCCCCTCCAAATTCTCTAAGGCAGTTAGTTCTTTTTCTCACACCATTTGCCATAATTTGTGATCATATCGATTTGCGGGTTTATCTGCTTAATGCCAGTCTCCCTCACTAGTCTGTGAGTAATGTGAAGACAGGAACTTTGTTTTGTTCCCCACTATATACCATATACCTATTATATTGCTTGTCATGCTATGAGGCAATAGTTATTTGCAGAATGAATGAAATAATGGAAGGAAATAATTTAAAAGCCTATCCATTTGCTATACAGGGACAGAAATCATAGTCAAATAAAATAGTTTTGACATGAAGACACAGGTAATACCACATAATGAAACATGAAAAAGAGGAAGCAAAATCAGAAACCTCCCAAATTCGTTTTAAAACTCAAGTAGGGGTTCACACTGGGTCATCGATTGGGAAGTAATGATGTGTGTTTCAAGAATACTGCAGAAGCTGCAAGCAATCCTACAGTCACGCTGCTCAGCTCACACGGTAGTGTAGAAGAGCTCTGACTTCTTTCCTGCCAGCAGAGTGCATGACCCCAGTTCTCTGGAAAACCAGCATCCTGAACTTGCTAATTAAAAAGCTGAACTCATCTGCTTCTGAAAACTAGTTTTACCTCCCTAAAGGACTTTAGTAGCTTTTAAGGTTACCAGTATGATAAAAATCCTTCTCTCTTTTTCCAATAATAGAAATGAAAATAAAGTGACAAGTAAAAATTCAGGTTCAAATCTAGAATACTTACAAAAAATCTGTAGAATCTAAAAGCAAAAATTCACTGCAGAAAATACTACTTTTTCTTTCATCATCGCTAGATGATCTGCGTGAAATGGGGATAATGTACACTTCTCACATGGTTATCAGTTTCATTAACTGACTACATGTGGAATGCTTAAAACAGTGCCTGGTATATATAGTAAGCATTTCAAAATACTAGCAACTATTATTATAATTTACTTGAAAATTTAAACACATAAATTAATCCTTTTCTGTCTAGTTAATCATCATTTGTATCCTTTCCATAAACAGAATAAAAGTCTTTACTTGTCTCTACTCACTCCCATTTTTAGTTTCAGATTATCACTAAAGACTTATTTTCCCCCTTACAATCAGTACTTGCTGAGATTTAACAAAATGTTTTGCTGATTTATTTGTTCAATATTGCTTTTTTGC